GGAGGAACTATGATACCAGAGAAACAAATCCCAAGCGTTCAGGAGAGGATAAAGACGAAGGATAATAAGATTATCAAGACAGAATGTAAAAAAAACTCCGCTAGAGCAGACGCCGCACCATCAGCATGCAATATCTTTGAAGATGAAAGGCATGCACGGAAAAGCTATGTCCCACCGGTAGAGTCAAGGAAGCGCTGATCCACGCAACCAGCTGTGTTGGTCACAACCTTGGCACAGATGCCAGCGACGAATGGGACGAAAACATAAAATGGTTGCTTAAGATTAACAAGAGCGACACTATAATTATGTCTATTTAATATTATGTACACTATATTATATAAGTACATGTAAAGATTTTTAACACAAGCCCAGCTAAAATCCGGTATATATGTTTCGGTCGACTGTTTCTTTCCGGAACTTTCCTACTGCAGAGAACAAGAGGAGCCGGTTGCGAAGCAACCAGGATTAAACCGCAACTGCATAAAACAAAACCACTATAAAGTTCATGAAGCGATATGCGAAAGAAAACATTTATAGGATCACCAGGACAACATAATCAACTCAGAACAAATGCATGTAAAAATTATGATGATACTGTAATGAAATGCAATATTTGTATCTCTCTGGCACTGTGAGCTACCATGAAACAAACCGAACGGGAACAAAATTCGCAACTAAATAATTACTGCGTTTAACAGACAACCAACCCTCCAAATTTCGGTATGATTACTGTAAACCGAAACGCAGGTACAAAGATTTGAAGTGGAACATGGATGATTAAAATGCAAAACTCTATGCATGAAACAAATGGTTTTAAAACGCTATGCAATCAAAACTTAGGTTTATTTTATCTATCTCGGAGGTTACATAACATAAGCATAGTATTTTTATATCAGCATTGCTATAAATGACGGCGAAACTATTTTAAAATCTCAATGGTGAACTAATGTTTTACGATTTTCAAACAGTCTGCAAATTGCCACAATCCAGTCAGTGATCACCATTAGAGCATTTCCTGCAACTCTTAAC